ATAGAATAGAATAGAATAGAATAGAATAGAATAGAATAGAATAGAATTTTTATTGGCCAAGTTTTATTGGACACACAAGGTATTTGTCTTGGTGCAAATGCTCTCAGTGGACATAAAAGAAAAGATATATTCATCAAGAGTCAAGAATCATCAGGTACAATATTTAATCATAGTCATAGGGTACAATCAACAATCAAATCATACTGGGAAACACTCCATATAAATCGTAAGGATACAAGCGACAAAGTTACACCCATACAGTCACAAGTGGGAGGGGATGAGTGATAAGAGTAATGGGAAGACTTTGTAAATAGTTGGACAGTGTTGAGGGAATTATTTGTTTAGCAGATTAATGGCATTCAGAAAAAAAATGTCCTTGTGTCTAGTTGTTCTGGTGTGCAGTGCTCTATAGTGTCGTTTTGAGGGAAGGAATTGAAACAGTTTATGTCCAGGATGTGAGGGGTCTGTAGATATTTTCTTTTTGTTTCGTGCACTATACAGGTCCTCCTCGGTGGAAGGCAGGTTGGTAGTAATTGTATTTTCTGCAGTCCTAATTATCCTCTGGAGTCTGTGTCTGTCCTGTTGGGTTGCAGAATCAAACCAGACAGTTATAGAGGTGCAGATAAAAGACTCAGATCAGCAGCTCCTTGGGCTGATCTTTCTGAGTTGGCACAGGAAAAACATTCATTGTTGTGCTTTTTTGATGACATTTTTGATGTTAGGTGTCCATTTTAGGTCTTGTGATATGATAGAACCCAGAAATGTGAAGGTCTCTACTGTTGATACTGTGTTGTCTAGTATTGTAAGAGGTGGTGGTACTTTTTAAAAGCCAACTCTTGGCTGAGTCCATTTACAAAGTGTGAGCAGCCCTTCAGAATGTGATCAAATTATGTCGTAAAACGTGTGCATGTGTTGTTTTTTCTTCCCTTTTAGAAAATGAAGTAAGAACTTTCCCAGTCTTAATTAGTGACCAGAGTGAGATCGTTGACACTAATGGAGCCGGAGATGCCTTTGTAGGTGGTAAGTACCTTTTGCATGTGATTCTGTTTGGAGATCTATCTGTTCTTCACCCTTCTTCCTCTCCTTAACCGGCAACTTCATCAGCCAATGTGATGACAAAGGGGTCGGTGGTTTGTTCGTTTTTCCCCCAAACAGAGAGCATCAAGTTTGTTTTTTTGCAAGCCTTCATTTGCATCCCGAGAGTCTGTTTTAATGGATTGTTAATTCTCTCAGGGGAAAAAAAAAATGTGTTGGTACCTTTAGCAGCATCTACCTTGTTTTCACAAGATTAATTGTGCCTGTCAGAATGTTGCGTAAAGAAAACGGCCTCAAATGTGCTTTGTTGGAGTCCTCCAAATTCTAGTCTGGCTCAAAAAACCTTAGCGCATTGCTCTTCTTTTTAGCAGGTTGTGGCGAATATTGCAGAGTATGAAAATAACTCATATTTGAACCTTAAACTCCCCACCCCCAGTTGCATCTGTTTCCTAGGCTGATGGTGGGTAAGTGCCCCTCCCCCAAATGATACGCTTTTAAGAGTCAGAAATAGCAGAACATCTGCTCGGATTTATATCTGATCTCAATTTTTCTAAAAAATATTGGGAAGGGATGACTCTCGGTCCGCATTGTTTAAAAATGCCTCAGATAAATCAAACCCTCCTGTAGCTGCAAAGTTATCTTGTTGACGATAAATCTCTGCGTCCTGCAACAACAGAGGGTCTTTCGCTTTGAACATGGTTAGTGCTGAAAGCCCTTAAAGTTGTCCACAACCCTCTCCTTATTTTTCTCAAAACCCAGGACTTGTTCTTATGGTGTGACTATGGTTGTTGTTGCCATACCAGAGGAAGAGAATATATGAGAGTCTTCACTTCTTGGCTCAAGTCTGTAACAATCTAGGTTTACCTTGAGCTGCCAATCTTGTACTATCAGGTCTGCGTTGCAGAACTCTAGACTGTCCCTAGGTGGCAGCAGCATGGTTCAGAAAACACAAATGTGGCTGCCCTCTGGTGGTTGTTTGGATATTAGCCCAAATGTGACAGAAACAGAATTCTCCTTCTCTTCCTCCTCCTCCTGACCCAAAAGACCAGAGGATGGTTGGTTGAAGGTTTGTTCTGACCAAGGTTTCCTGAGACCATAATTAAGCACATGTTTAGTCCAAACAGTTCCTCGAGATAAGCACCCACCTTTCTCTCCTTTGAATTGCTGCCAACAACTAAAGGGCCAAAATAACATTAAAAAAAAAAAAAAACCAACCGAGTACAAATTCCACACAGAGCTTCAAGGTTTAATCCAAACAGAACGAATGACTTTGCTTCCTGCAAAGGTTTCTTTACCTTTGCCTGTTCTTTATACCTTAGGGGAGGGGCAATCACTTCCAAGCCTTACTTCTGAGTCGCCCCTTTTGTCCTAGCTGCTGTTGCCTTCTAGCAGCTCTGCGCACATGCGCACTGGGAACAGGCTCCCCTTGTTCCTCTGCCTCACTGTTGCCAGACTCTGGAGGCTCCGGAGGCAGCACCCCACTCCCAGATGGTCCTGGCCCCATCTCTGCATCAGAAGCAGGACCCTCATCCGAGTCCTCCCCAGACTCCCAGACTGGTCCCCGTTCGTCCCCACTGTCCGATTCCACTGCTGTCTGCATAGGCTGCCGGCGAACCACAACAAAGTTATCCTAAAAGCATTTACCTGTGATGACCCGGAGTGTAACACAAATGTAACAAAATCCAAAACGTAAATAAATGTCCTTTAATGCCTCCGATTTGGCCCCACTGTTCAATAATTCTCAGCTGGAGATAAAACGCACTCAAAAATAGTCTTCAAAAGAAAACAATACAGTCCAAATTTAATGAGCAGATAGAGGTGAAATAAAAAAGCAAACAAACTACAATGACGAAATTTCCACAAAGGAACAAGAGAAGGTATTTACCAAATTCAAGGAGATAGTCAAAGCACCGTCGGTTGGAAGGACGCCAACCAAGATAACTTCAGACCAAAATAAAACATGCTTTGTTTCCAGCGTTTGCCAGTACGCGGGTCTAAACTCTTATTCAGCTGTCACACCTGCATCCCATGAAGAGGATCAAGACCCTCTCCTCCTGAGAAGACCACATTTCTCCTTTATCCTCTCTTCCCTGCATGCCCTAGGATGGAGAGGGGATGGGCCTGGGTCCTCCTCTGACTGCTCAGCCGGCCTCTGCCCTTCCCCAGCCTCCTCTACAACCTCCGGAGCAACACGTCTGCTCCCTGTCGGCTGTTCCTCCTCTCCCTCAGAGTCAGTCTCCACCAGGGGCATGACATTACCTGTGTTATCGGATGATGAGCTCATTCTATTCCCTAAGCTTTGTAGCAAGGAAAAGCAACGATGAGAACCAGTTGGAGAGATGGGATCATAGATTCCCCGTTCTTCTTTTAGTAGTAGCAGTTACCATTAGAAAAAGCTAAGGCCAGACAAGGCATTGGGATTGAATTCCAAATACGTTCTGTTCTGAAGGCATTTTTAGCTAAACTCCATCCTGGAGGTAAACAGTAGGAGGCTTCTTAATGGACTTGCAAAATTTGTGTAGCTTTACTGAGAGCTGATCTCTCCAGGTTCTGCTTCCAAGGGGCAATATTTACTTAGCGTTAACAGATGGAAAGCAACAGTTTTATATAAAGGGCACTGAGTGTAGCAGAGAAAATCTACCTAGTTCTCTGTACTCGCGTCTGAATATTTTGCTGGCGACCAAATAGAGATTTTTTTTTTTTAAGAATGAATATTTGGAGGGTTTAGACTGTTTGGAAAAGAAGAGAATTGATGGAGCCAATTATTCATTCTTCATTTGTCAGACTCAGGAGAGTCTGCATCTGTGGGATGGCACAGAAAGTAAGCTAAGTAGGAGAGCTAGAGAGAAAAAGTTCTGGCAGACTGTGTGTGAGAGAGTAAAACTCGGTGAGAACCGGCTGCATCCTGAGTAAGAACTAAAAGTAGAGAGAGAAGTATGCCTTGCCTAACAGAGTGTCTGAGAACCAGATTGACTCTCATCACGAGTTGCAAACCTAAAACTTTTATTTCCTGCTTTATTTCCGGACAGTCCAGTTGCCTCGTGAAAAAAGCCCCTTTGGGTTATTTCCTGCATAGAACCACAAATATCTGATCTTTGAAAAATCCAGACAGATTTAATAGCAAAAAATCTTGATAGGAAAACAACAAAAAAAAGATCAAACCAAGCAGAAGTCAAGAAACGGAAAATGGAGCGATCCCAGCAATGTTGGTGATTTTTTTTTTTTAACTCTAGAACAAATAACTGGATTTCTGTACTGCTAATAAACCTTAAGTCTTGTGGACTTCAACTCCCAGCTGTGCTGGCTGAGGAATTCTGGGAGTTGAAGTCCACAAGTCTTAAGGTGGCCAAGGTTGCAGACCCCTGCTTTTTTAAGGATTAAAAAGAGCCTTCTTAAGAAAATCACATCAGTGTTAACAAATAAAACAAATATCAGCAGCACCAGGGGAAAAAAAAAACTCAGCTGAAAATACTAATATAATATAACCCAGATCTGCAGCTAAGAACCAAGGACAGAATCAAGAAGAGATTCCTCTTATGCATCCCATCCTATTTGATTTCCTGCTTCGTCCAGGGAAGCCCCCTTTCCGGTGGCACGTAACAACCGGTATGGTGAGTGCACGCTTCGCGCGGGTGCTCTACAGTTTAAAAAAGCACATTTTCAACTCCATTGCTTACCTTCTACTGCAGCCCCTGGGACTAAAACAGCTGAGGCGCCGCGCAAATCAGCTGTGCTAAAAAAAAAAACAGGAAATAAAGCACAGGAAAGAGTAGGGGTGCGTGGGTGGGGCCAAATGCTCACCAGAACTACTGTTTCACCCAAACCAGTGCGAACCGGTAGAATCCCACCCCTGCCTCTTTCCAGATGTGGGGGCTACCTGCACTCCCAATTTAAATGTCATTGTCAGGATTCCGGCAGTTGCCCCTATTTAAATCATGAGTCTCGAGCCAAACTTCCAAAACTTAAAAAGGATTTAATTCATATTCTCCAATGGGACACATCCATAGTCAAGACTCATCAAATCATGCTCTCCAGTTAAAATTTTGCACGGGAGAAACTTCAGTCACCTAGTTACTATCTTTGAAAACATTTATGGAATGCACTTTCGGTTTGCAAGCTGCCACACTGCTCCTTCCTCCCTTTCTGTTGGCAACTCTAAAAAGACCATAGAAATATTTTATGGGTTGACAGTGATCTAGTGCAAGGGTCTCAAATGTTGGCAACTTTAAGTCTGGCGGACTTCAACACGCAGCTTTGCTGGCTGGGGAATTCTGGGAGTTGAAGTCCACAAGTCTTAAAGATGCCACAGTTGGAGACCCCTGATCTAGAGCTCTCTTTGGTGATATATCACTAAGGCAGACAAGCTCCATATCACCCCCTTATGCTGTGAGTTGGAATATAAGACAGGGATTTTATAATCCACATCCCATAAAATTGGGAAGATACGTTGCAGATATTTTTACAAGTCACTTGACTTGCTACCAGTTCCTATGACTTTCGAGGCTGGAAACTTTGGACTAGGAAAGAGGTGTGTGAAAGCAGCCATTCCTCAGGTGCAGCTTCTCTACTCACAGGAAAGAAAAAGGCCTCAGGAATGGAGCTAATGGAAGACCTCTCCAAAATTCCTCTCTTTGCGTAAATTACTATCAGCCGTCCTGGACTTACAGTGGTTCATTCAGGGACCGTTCAAAGTTGCAGCAGCATTGAAAAAAGTGACTTACGGACGTTTTTCACAACAGTGGCAAGAAAGGTTGTAAAATGAGGCAAAACTCACTTCACAAATGTCTCACTTAGCAACAGAAAATTTGGGCTCAATTGTGGTCGTAATTTGAGGCTTACCTGTATTTTACTGCCTGGAAACCCAAGTTAAACAAAACCAAGTAGTTTTCTCGAGCAGATTCCCAACAATCCTCCACTTCTCATTCCTTCTCATGCACAAAATCTGATCTAAATAATAATAATAATAATAATAATGATGATGATGA